ATGTGAAATAAAGAGTCAATGCAGAATAGAATGAGTTCTCATCTTATGATATTAGCTGTAATCGATTGAATGGCCAATCTCCTGCTTTCATTCCGTTTGGAATCAAGATGTGATCTGAGAGCGGATATAGGAATCCCCTGGTAGTGGTAGTTGGGTTGGTGAAATCCGAGAATGGAATAAGGCTGGAATGCTGAGACATATTGGCATTGTATTTTGCCTGAGACTTCCCGCCCGCCCCGTTCGTTATCTTATGGAAGAATTGAGCTTATTGCTGAGCTGGTTATTCAGAGCCAGCAATTGGCTGTCGGATTTCGTCCCGCAACTAGAAGAAGATGGCTTCGGGGGTCACTGTGGTGTGGTTGAATGTAGAGCAGTCCGCCCTTACAGTCTTTGATCAGTAGATTATTTAGAACTTCGGAAGATGGTCAAGGCTTTTATACCAAGCCACTGCACTAGATGAGCATGTAGTCGTCCTAGTAGTCGGCCAAAAATGCCTCTATTCTTTACTAAAATACTATTTCGGATGAATGGGGAATTACGTTGCTCTTTGATCTGCAGAATAAGGCCTAGGAGCTCTCTCTTTTATGGCAGAGATCTCTCCACACCAATCACAATGGGAGAACCCCCACTAATAGGAACAATTGAAGACCTGGTTCTTTCGTCGTTGGACTTCTCAGGCTAACGTTCATATGTCCCTAAAGCCCTAAGGTAGCTAACTATTTTCTATATTCTTAATATCAAGCACAGAAGCAGGAAAGCTACCCACTCAGAAAGTCTTATTCAAAAGCTTTCTTTACTTTAGGAGAGGTCATATAAGACCGTGCTTAAAGGTCTAAAGAGTCACGTTCAATGCCCATCAGCCTACCGGAGGCTAAAGGATGAGCATGAACAAAAGAGCCCGAAGCCAAGGGCATTTTTTTCTACATTGAGACTTCAAAGATTGGAGAAAGCTATGAAGAACATTCAAGGGCTAGATCAATATGGCGGAATGGATTATGAAGATCTCTCCTTCTTGCCAAACATCAAGTTCCCTCACAAGTTGAAGATGCCCGACTTCGCCAAATATGATGGAACTGGAGACCCCACATCTCAAGGTGTATTGCGGAGAGTTAGGGCAATATGGCAATAAGATGCAACTGAGGATGTTCTTGTTCCAAAGGAGTCTGACAGGATCTGCTCTGAAATGGTATGCCCACAGATGGAGAGAGCTGGCAGCACAGGTCAAACCTCCCTTGGATGAGCGAGAAATGATATCCACCTTCCTGGAGGCACAACAGGAACCCTACTATGAAAAATGGATTGCTGCTACCGGAAGCACTTTTGCCGAGTGGAGAGATGGTAGAGAATGGTTTTAAAACAGGCAAGATTCATGATTACTCTTCTTTGAAGGCTGTGGTCGAAACTCTCCAAACCCCAGGAGCCAAGAAAAAAAAATCCTAGGATAAAACCAAAGGAAAAAAAGGGTCAAGCCTCTTATGTCATGAATGCTGGAATGCCCTATCCATACTATCAGCCTTATCAGGTCCCTGCTCCAGCCTATCAGGTTAATCCTCCCCCTGTCAATCCTTATCAAGTTCTTCGTCAAGGACACCCGGCCCAAGCATATCAATCCCCAACTCAGGTGACTCCCCCTGCAACGAACAATCAAGCACGCAACCGGAGGCCGAGAAGAGAATTCACCCCTTTGTCGGAACCCTTGTCACAAATATTTCAAAAGTTGGTAGATTTGAAGATCATGGAACCAGTTCCCCCAAAGCCTGTCAGCAATCCTCCACCCTCTTGGTTCAAAGCAAATGAGACTTGCGCATACCATTCCAATGCGCCTGGTCATGCTACGGATAAGTGCTTGATCTTGAAGCACCGCATTCAAGACATGATTAATAGAGGTGAAATTATGGTACAAAGCGACCCTGCTCCTAATGTTCAACAAAACCCCTTGCCAAGACATGAGGGCGCTGGCATAAATATGATTACCATGGATGAAGAAGATGGAGACCCCACTCCCTTTGGCAGCATCCACTAATTCGGAACAACATTTGAAAGCCATATTTCGACCCGGACGTTCTCGGGATGCCGCTAATAACCAACGAATGGCAAGTGCTTTTCCTTGTGTGGATCCTATTTCAATGGGAACTTGATGAGTCGATCCACCTACACGTCTTGCTTTTACTGCTATATCGGGAGTGACTCCACGTATTGCTTGACGTAAAACAGATAGTGGATTTTTTTCTTTCTTTTGTGAAATTTTTTTCATGGCTCGATAGAGAATTTGATAAGCCAATGGATTTTCTTCCGTGTTTCAGAATACGGTTAACCAACATGTTAACTAATCGATTACGAGAAATTGGATCGGATTTGGCTGTTTTTTCTTCTGCAGTACCTCGACGTGACATGAGCGTGAAAGGGGTTTAAGAATCCGTTTTCTTTGTAGAAGGGCTAAAATCACTTATTTTTGCTTTTTGACCCCATATTGTAGGGTGGATCTCGAAAGATGTGAAAG